ATTCCAGTTTCTTTATACCAACCTGAAGGCTCGATGCTTATAGGCATCTGTGTATATATCAGGATTTAGGAAATCCTTTTCTTCCTGGGCTTGACATTTTCCAAAATTCACTGAAGAAAAGTAGGCAACTGATGAAGGAAGTGGCTGGCCCATTTGTGCCATTCCATAGCATTTTATAAGAAATCTAAAAATAAAGAAGAAAAATGAAAACCAAGACACATCCTAAGACGAGCTAAATGATGGCAATTATTTTCAGAGATAAACAATAGGGATGCAAAAAAAGATTGCTTTTGGACACCAGAATACAGAAAAGATATTTACTATGTAGGCCCTGTTTCCTTATGAATGTTACACCACTATATTTCCTTAACTCTTTAGTCCAGCCATGGACTAAATATAACCACAACAATAAAAAGAAAGGAAAATGTATTATTTTCTGGAACATGGGAGAGACACTCAGTCCAGCCAATTTTTTACCTTTCTCACAAAAGTTGTAATTCAAGTATTCTTGCAGCTTTGTCTCTTAAGTAGTTGGAATGTTCGTGAATATTCTGTTCCATAAGATATCTGGAGCCAATCAGCAGTAATAGCTCCCCTTCTTTAAGTAAAGGAATATACACACATAGAGGCGAAAAATGCAAACATGAACATTTTCCCTGTAGCATTTTGGAATCCCTTTCATAATATGGAAGTGCTGGAAAATAAAAAAAAACCTGGACTCCTAGAGACCACTCATTTTATAAAAAAGCTGCAAAGGTGCTTGTAAAACGTATTCTGGAAAAGCTTTTCAAAATAGAATTGAATAGAAATAGAAACAGAAATAGAATAACAGAGTTGGAAGGGACCTTGGAGGTCATCTAGTAGTCCAACCCCCTGCTTAGGCAGGAAATCCTATAACATTTCAGACAAATGGTTGTCCAATCTCTTCTTAAAAACTTTCAGTCTTGGAGCATTCACAACTTCTGCAGGCAAGTTGTTCCACTGATTAATTGTTCTAACAGTCAGAAAATTTCTCCTTAGTTCTAGGACAGTGATGGCTAACCTATGACACGCGTGTCACTTGTGACACGCCGAGGCACTTTGACTGACACGCCTGTTGGTGTGGGGAAAACCTGCACATTTAGAGGCTGCCTGTGCTCTGCTCCAATCCCTGCTCCCTGCTTGTTGCGTGGAGGCGTGGTGTCACCGCTGCTGCAAGATCTTTGCAGCAGAGAACCAGTTTTAACCACCATAAACTGAGGTTTGTCAGTTTCATTACCTCAGGAATGCTACAGGAGGAAAGGAGATCCATGAGGTTCACAGCCCTGTAAGGTGGCCTTCCGATCCCCACATCCTGCACCTGCAGCCCTGAGACCAGGGAGACGAGTTTCACAGCCCTGTGTGATCACCCCAGCCCAGTCCGTCATAAACCAAATTATTGATATTTCTTGAAGTGACACACGACCCGAGGAAGGCTACACTTTTTCCTGATTTTCGACACACCAAGCTGAAAAGGTTAGCCATCACTGTTCTAGGATGTTTCTAAGCAAGGCTTCAGAGATGAAAAGTAACATTTTTTTCACTGAAGTTACCTGGCTGTTTGCAGCAGGAGAACGGTATTTTCTCCCTCATAAGTACACGACGGGACCACTTTCATATAAATGGAAGGCAGGCCACTGAGAAGAGAGTAGCCATGTCCCCCACAAGCCCTTCGACACACCTCAACTCCAGCTGAGCAGTAGTCGGTAATAATCACTTTTATGCCTGCTGCCAGGGCGTGAAGCTGTGAAATGTAAGAAATTAAAATGGTCAGATAAGATCGGGTTTGAGGTAGTAGTGAAATTCATCAGACTAGAACTGGAAGATTTTGAGTCATACTTGGGCACAAAGCCATCTGGCTGACCTTGAGCCAGTACCTCTCTCTCTCCCAGCCTTAAGGAGGATTTTTAGATATGATATCTATAAAATCTATAAAGAGCACATATCTTAAAACTATTCTTAACAACAAGAATTGCTACCAAGTCTGACTACAGTGCCTGCATAAGGGTTTAAATTATATGGGCTTTCCTATTTTATAGATATACAATATTTTAAGCATCCTTAAGCATCCTTATTTGGATTCTCAAGACATAGGACATAGATCACATTCCAATTCAACTGACTTGGGAGTAATTTTTACTGAAGACCATGAAAAAATTTTTCTGAGTGAATATGCGAAGAGCAATTTTGCTGACTGATGAAATGGGCCAAAGGTTTTCTACACAAGAAGATGCTATATTTCTCTTTCACATTACCTCTGGAAGCAAGTCAAATTTTCCTTCTTGGGTCTGGTTGTAGCATCTGTGGAAAGTCTCCAGCAGATAGTTGCAAGTAAAATGAAAGGCATAGGCAGTGGCCAGCTGAGGAAAAAGCTTCTGTTGCTGAGTCTGATAGTCCAAAATCTTAACCTCTGGATCACTGAGGAAAAGAAATATTGAAGGTGATGAATGGCAGGCTTGCCCACATATCTCCAAACTATCTTCACAACAGAAGGAGCTTTCTATTTTCACTTGATTACACTTTTGGCCTTCAATAGCAAAGTTAGTGAAAACCACAAAATCTCAGCTTTCTTTTTCAAAATAAGAAATTGGAAAGATTGAGCATTTCAGTTACAGTGAAGTTACATTTCTTTATTTCACCTGCAGATTAGCGTGAGACATGCTGGCCATGGGTGATACAGTGTGGTCCTCCAATAGAATTCCCTCATCCCAGATAGTCAGGTTGGGGTACTGGTTAAGTCATCAGGCTAGAAACAAGACTGTGAATTCTAGTTCCTAGGCATGCAAAATCAACTGGATGACCAGTCACTCCCTCCAGGCCTGTCAAACTGGCGGCCTGCAGGCTGAATAGCAATAGCACTTAGACTTATATATCGATTTATAGTGCTTTATAGCCCTCTCTAAGCAGTTTACAGAGTCAGCATATTGCCCCCAACAATTTGGGTCCTCATTTTAACCACCTCGGAAGGATGGAAGGCTTTGTCAACCTTGAGCGTGGTAAGATTTGAACTGCCAAATTGTAGGCAGCTAGCTGCAGAGGTAGCTTGCAGTACTGCACTCTAACCACTGTGCCACAAAGGCTCTTACACTGTATCACCCATGTGAATGTATCATACACATACCAGTTCCGCGAAGGGAAAAAATTGTGATATATCCCAAGTTGTCACATGATGTGATCGTGTTTGACACCCATAGTCGAGTCCAACTCACCTCCCAGTGTTGTTGTTGTGGGGAAAAATAGGAGGAGGAATAATTATTAATATCTTCACTGCCTCAAATTATTGATCAATATAATAAAAATGGGATATAAATAAATACATCCTTTATCTTCCCAAAAACTGTCTATTGCCAAATTTAGGTAATGTTTGTTTTAATATTTGATTATCCAGTAACAGCTTTTGTGGAGTAAACCTCTTCTTAAGGACCAAATTCTTTAACAGCCATAACTGATCTATGACAAATTGCTGTTGCAATAAGAACATTTAGTTAGTAAAGAGCTTAATTCCAGGTCTAAAACAAGATACAATGACTACATTATTTTCATGCACCTAAACATAATTTTTCTTGTCAGATTTTTGGCAAATATATGTAAGCATATAAATGCCAATTAAGAACTAGGAAAACACATTTTTACCTAACTCCCTATAGTGACAGAAATAGCAAACTGGGTTCCAGCATAGCCAAATCTGAACCAAAACAGGATATGCTACAAAGGACATGAATAATAAGATAAAGCAGCCATTTATCAGTAGATTCTCCAATTTCTATCATAACATCCATAGCAATTAAAAAAAATCAAATGTTGCATTCAATTCCACGAAGGCTACCAAAGAAAAAGAAAAAAAGAAAAAAGAAAGAAAGGAAAGAAAACCTTTAAGGCTTCTTAGTATATTTTATGAATTGTAAGAGTGTAAACAATGATTTAGGATTGAGCAATTTTCTCCAAATGCTGCCTAAGGATCAGTGAATACATCTCTTTCTAAGAAAAAAATTGAAGCTGTTATTCCCATGATTGACAGCAAATTGTACTGTATTTATATTTCCATGGTTCATTGATTTTGACCCGTTTAAAAATAAAAATGACTGCTTTGTTTCAGTCAGAAAGAATCATGTCAAAAATTACTGCCTGGTGGGTTCAACAACAGAACCCACCAATGTTGATTGAATTAAATAAATTAAGTTATCAATGCTGAGTGATTTCCTGGATTTATGGTAATATATTATGGAAAACATTTCTTTGATAGCAACATGGATTGAAGTTGGGAGAGTTGAACTGTGATTACGGCATCCAAGGGAAAATCAGATTGTATGGCATCTGGATTCCCTCAAATATTTCTAAAACAATTTTCTCATGCTTGAGCAGAAGCATAATGCTTCTATAACAATTCTAGGCACTAGAGTTCAGAATAAGTGCTGAAATAGTCTAGCAACATACAGAACAGTACCAATTTCCTATCCCTGCCCAAAATCTAAAACGATATTGTAAAAAGAGATTAGTATTAGGTGTATGTGTAACTATGGGAAATTAAGCATTCAGACAGAAGCATATCTCTCTTTTCATATCATACCCTGGCTTTAACTCAGATTGCCGACGCACCACGGAGTATCGGATAGCAATAGTACAAGCCTTCATCAGACAGGGAATAATTGAACTCTGAAGTATGTTCACCCGAACCACAATCATAGTCAAATAGTTGATTTTGTCAGATCCTTGTTTCTTATACTGACCATCTGGTAGAACCTGGAAGATCAGATTTAAAGGCAAAGGTATTGCGGAACAGAGCTGATAGGCATTAAGAAAAACTTAAAATAATTTTTCAAAATTTATTCTTAAAATCCTGCATATTTTGTGAGTATGAGTAAGAAAGTGCAACATTGCCAGTGGGGACTGCGGCTGAGAAGCAGATACAGACCAATTTTGCTTCTTCATCCTATATGAAAATTATGGGTGAACTGTGGTAATTTAATGTGAACCAAAGTGTACTTTGGCTAGAGAGTAACAGCTCTCCCCCACACCCAAATGTCTGTGGAGATTCTCAACTATCCAGGTCATGGTTGTGCCAAAGGTGCTTTTTCAAAAGGAAAATGGACTTTGTTTTTCCTTGAAGACGTTTTCTCATCCAAGAAGCTTCTGGAGAAACCAAGTCCAGCTGCTTTTTGAAAAAGCATCTTTGGGGCACTCCTCCCAAAGTAACACTAAAAAGGTAAATTCATTTCAAGAGCTGGATGATTTGAGTGTTCCTTTTTTACTTTATGCTTAAAAGGAAAATCAAAACTAGTTATTCGACAAAATATTTCTAGGCTGACAAATGCTGTCTAAATTGAATGTGGTATTGTCACATATTTACTTGATGATTGACTTCAGAAATAATCGGAGAAAATAACAAAATGCAAAGACCTGTAAGTAGAAGTAGAATGACTGTGGCAAGAGAAAGCAAAGGTAGTACCAATAATAATAGGTTCCTTGGGTGGAAATCCCCAAAACCTCTGGAGTACTACTTGAACACTTTTGTCATTGACAAAATCACCACCAGTCAATTGCAAAAGGCAGCTTTGCTGGGAACAGCTTACTCCTGAAACAATGCCTTTAACTCTAAAAACATGCCTTGCCCAGATCCTTGGGAAGGACTAGATAGCTAGATAAAGATGCCAAATCCAGTCCAAACATATGGCTGACTGTGCAAACAATACTAGTAGTAATAGTAGGTAGGGTTTGCAGGGCTCAACTTTTTACATTTCAACCTTCTGTAGCCCTGGTTACTACTACTACTACACAAATAGGGGAAGGGAGGGGAAAGGAGGGGAGGGAAGAGGAGGGGAAGGGAGGGGAAGATTTACTAACTCTGTCAACATTCTGAACCAGGTATCAGAATTCTATGATCTTTGGTACTTTGAAACTGATTGGAATACATGAGAATTATCTATCTATACCTGAGAGAATTTGGCCAACAGGTTTTCTCTTGGAACACGGACATTCTTCAGGATGAGAAAGCCATTGTCAATATTCTCAAAGCCCATTTTGGGACCTATATCCCCTAAAGTTATTCCTGAGGAATAAAAAAAAAAGCAATGAGTAACATGATTTCATAAAATGGAAATCTTCCGTTGCACAATGGGGATACAAAACTAATCTATTAAAAGAAATGCAAAAGGGGGAAAGTATTGGAAGGCTTTGTGGGGAAAACGCTTAAAAACCACCACTGGAAAAGTTGAGCAAGACGTTAGGTGGTTTGGACAGAGAAAAAGAGAAAATGTTTGAAATAAGCTTCCTTTTCTTGCATTCCATCATTTTTCTTTAGGTATGGAAAGAATCTATATGAGAAAAAGGAAAAGTGTGGGTAATCCTCAATATATGACCAGTTGCTTAGCAACCATTTGAAGTTAGACCCGAAAAAGGGAACTGATGAGCCAGATCCAAAGTTTCAACGTTGCCCCCCCCCCCAATCACGTGACCGCACTTTGGGCGCTCAGTAACATGGCCGCATTCATGGCTGTTTGCAGCATCCTGTAGTCACATGGTCTCATTTTATGACAGTTTTGCCCAAAATTGGCAGTTCCAAGTTTTAGCCAAACTATGCCATAGTGAACAATGGAGTTTGTTTAATGACTGCTGCAAAAAAGTTCATAAAATCAGATTGGTCACATGACCAACTTGTTTTACGACCATTATGACTTACAACTATAATGGGCAAGCTTCATAATGGTTGTAACTCAGTGGTGGGATTCAAATTGTTTTACCACCAGTTCGGTGGGCATGGCTTGGTGGGCATGCTTTGCCTAACGCCGCGTGCAGCTTTCCCCATACCAGCTGAGAGTTGCAGCACCAATCATCTGAGAAGATAGATCTTTTTTCCTCCTCTCAGCTAATCGTCAGCTTTTTTTTTTACTACCGGTTCAGTGGAACCGATCTGAACTGGTAGCATATCACCACTGACTACCTGTCCACCACTGACTACCTGTCCAGCACTACCTGTCCAACAGAGATGGTTTCGGAAAAGCAAAAGCACAGAATGAACTGAGGTTAGCAAAAGATGCTATGAAGAGCAAAAAGGGCTTTTTTTTTAAACATACATTCAAAATAAGGGGAAACCAAAAAAAGAAACCCCAGCCAGAGCTATTTAATTCTTACATGGGTTTAGTTTTTCTCAACTAAAGGCATTCATCAGGGAACCAAAAACATCAATGTGTTGAGGCAACATTGATTCTTTCAAATTGCTAGAAACATGGTAGGATGTACCTCTTCATTTAAATCTCCAAGGTGGGATGAATTACACTTTTAGGGTAATGAAGGAATTAATCAATGGTATGGCCAAACCCATAAATAATCCAGGAGAAATGGTGAAATGCAAGATGTCTGAAGGAGAGCCCATCTTGACTCTGTCTTCGGAAAAGGGAAAAACGAAGACCTAGGAAATTACAGACTAGTCTTACATTGCTATCTAAGAAGATTCTACAGAGATCAAAAAGAGAGTTTAGCATTCTTTGGTTGAGGGTGGCTTCTTCTTCTTCTTCCGGTGTCTGGGAGAATGGAAAGACTCCTAGCTTACTCTTCTGAAGAGCTTCATAAAAACATCACCTTGACTTGGAGAATGGTCTCTGAGGCTGCGGATTTGTACGATGAATGGATGCATGCCATAACAACGTCCCTTCAGATAAAGTTGAGCAAAAACCACAGCATGAGTTGCAGTCCGTCCCACTGCAAGAAGATGGGAAGAAAAGAAGTTATCATCTGGTTAAAAACAATGGTCCAGAATATTCAGAATATCTTACTATATAACCTCACTAACTATTCAAATTAATTGTTAAAGTTGTCATAAAGAAGACAAGACCCAAACACTTGAAATTGACTTGAAAAGTTCACTGCTTCGTCCTCACTCATTTTGGAATGTGTTCAATGAACAATGATTCTACCAGGAAAGTTCTAGCCTTCACATTAATAAAGGCTGGAGAGAAATAAAATGGCAGGTCCCATAGATTCCTATAGGGACACTGTCATTCTGATGGGAGAGAGAAGGCTTGGGGGGGGATCTTTGTGGGGGTTTCTGTTTTTATTCCTTGCTTTGCCTTGCTGTAACTTTTGGGACCTTGGCAGGGGGGAAAGGACTGTACCTCAAGCAGTGATGGGATTCAAATTTTTTTACTACCAGTTCTGTGGGCATGGCTTGTTGGGCATGGTGTGGCTTGTTGGGCATGGCAGGGGAAGGATACTGCAAAATCTCCATTCCCACCCTACTCCAGGGGAAGGATACTGTAAAATGTCCATTCCCTCCCCACTCCCGGGGGAAAGTTACTGCAAAATCCCCATTCCATCCCCACCCCACTAACCTGCTTTCCAGCTCTGTTCTCCTGTGCAGGACAACAAAAGAAGACCCAGCTGATCAGCTGGGACTTGGTAGGCAGCGAATAAATGGGGGCGGGGCCAGTCAGAGGTGGTATTTGCCAATTCTCTGAATTACTCAAAATTTCTGCTACCAGTTCTCCAGAACAGGTCAGATCCTGCTGAATACCACCTCTGGCCTCAAGCTATCTGCCTTATCTCATCTCTGGAGGAGAATGGCAGTGTTACTTTGGGAACAGGCATTTATCACCTTCTCGGCCTGAGTTTCTCATAAATCTTCATACCTTGGGATTGGCTTGATGATGGACTGGACTTTAGGAGGGGCTCTGTTTGCAATGGTTTAATCCAACAGTTTGAGCGGGAAAACCTTAGTTCCTGCCTATACCTTCTTGCTATCACTATTTTCCAATAAAAGTTCCTTTTGAAATGGCTTTTGTTTCAAGAGTTCTGTTTTCTTCAGAAGACTGGCGAGGCAGAACCTTATACAAAAGAAGAAATGAATCTAGCAATTCCTTCCATTTAGTTCCAATTCATCAGCATGCTTGATACTTACGGTCTCCTGGCCACCATTTCATGGCAGATAAGGTTGGCGTGTTTAGGATAAACTCCTGAGTAGCCACATCAAACGTGGCTGTGGTCTCCAAGCCCCGAAGATTAGATCCTTTGCAACAAAAAGATAAGAGACCATTTTCTGCATACCCGACAACTAGCAGAAGATTGAATATTTGCCAACTATTCCCAAAAGTGCTTTTTCAAAGTCCAGTTGCCTTTTGAAAAAGCACTTTTGGGACAACCATGACTTGGATGATTAAGAATCTCCGTAGACCTTTGCTAGCAAGATTTGGCAATCTTAGCTGGTCTTCTCCAGGAATGAAATTTGTGCAAAGTTTCTCTTGTTGTGAACAAATTCCAACCTTGCAAAGATCTCCGTTAAAAGTAAGGTTGTAATATTTTAGACATGTTTAGTGTGTCCAATCACACTTGGCCAATAAAGAATTCTATTCTATTCTATGTTTAATATTTCCTAACATAATTTTGGGAGTAGAGCTGAGTATAAGAACTCATTGAATGACAATCTCATTTTGTCTGGACTTCTAGTTCAATTCTTAAAACACATGCACATGCACATCAATAAATATGAGGTTTCTAAAACATCTATACAAAATCATAAAATCACTGGCTGATTGAATTTGTTTAACAGCTTACTATGATAAATTTTTCTGCTCCATCCTTCAGAGACCACAGCTTTGACCTAAAGATTGGTTTGAACCTTTGTGACAAAATTAGCAACATTCTGCACCTATTCTCTAGTTACAGGCTGGAAGGCTGGGTGCCTATCCAGGTGGACTTAAAAAATTACTTAGGGACCAGACATAATAGATAGCTGGAGAAAGGACTCTGCTCTAATTTCTGTTGACAGACATTGCCTCATACTGCTCAGTGACTTTAAAGGACAACTGAACTGAAGAACTTTGTATTAAAAGTTAACTAAGCAAAAGGTCTGCTCTGATAGTATCCAGAATGTAGAACTACTTTATATATATATACAATACTTTGTATTGTTTTGGTGTGATCAATTGCTAGGCCTCTTTACCTAAGCATTAGGTTATTCTCAAGTGTTTATGCCCAACTGGCTAGACAACCTGGAGGTTATGAATATTTATTTCTTTAGCATTGGGTTACTCTCAAGTGCTTACAGCCAGCTGACTGGAAGACATGGAGATTATGAATATTTATTTCTTTAGGGTTGGGGTTAGATTCTATTTGTATAACTATTTTTCTGTACACAATTTGCATTGCAATTGATTGTGAAGAATGATGATGATGGGATACTATTTGACAAGGGAAGTGGCCATGCAACAATGGAGAAAATCATAAATGAAAACCAATGAAAAATGTTCATGTTAACAAGAGCTTCTGCAAATCAAAAATATAACCACTAACAATAACCAATGAAAAATAGTCATATTAACAAGAGCTTTTCTTTAAAAAATGAAACTCAAGGGAGATTTGATGGACTGTGATGTCTTTTTCTGCTGTCAGTTTTTTATGTTTCTATGTAATAAGTGGTAAAAACTAGGTTAAAAAATCAGATCGAGAGATTTCTGTAGCTATTGAAGATTAATCAAGAGGTAACATTCTACTAACAGTCACACTATCATGGGCTTTACTACTGTTCTTGTTAGTTATTACTCTCACACAAAGGGTGAGTGAGGCTTGTTGAATCAGTTAAGCAAGCATAAATACATTTCTGCTTCATTTAAAACAACAAAAGGTGCACAGAGTCAGATTTATGTACCTATATTGTCTGCTGTATAATGTTTAAATAATAATATAAAAATCCGAGGCAAGATTTGCTATGAAGATTATGTAGCAGAAATGTGACATCACAAGCACCAACCAGTAGGCCCTCTTAAGAATCAGATTTATCTTGACCAATGGAACTACTGCATGCTGAAAATAGGTTTTACAGCATACTGCAAATCAGAAATGAAGGAAATGTGGTAGAGATGATGGGGCGAAATTGTTGCTATTCTTTTTAAAGGTTTACTCAGCCCCAAGGAAATGGATCCCACCTCCAGGTCCCTCTTTAACACTTTCAGTAAAACCTTGGTAACCTTAAGATGTGAGGATTTCAACTCCCAACATTGCTGGCTGGTGAATTCTGGGGTTGAACTCCATATATCTTACAGTTGCCACCATTGAGCAAACCAAAACCATTTCTTTGGCTGCTGCTCTCCTACTTTCCACTACAGAATCACTAAGTGTTAGACTTAGAGCCTCCTCCACAAAATTTCAGTAAACAACTTGAATATTAGAGCACTTGATTTGCATTTAGGTCATCCTCTTAATGCAACCTCATTGTGTATGTGAAAACAAGAAAAAGCACTTAACTGAAGATGCCACAAAATGGAGCAATTTCTCCTGTCTCTTGTTATTCAATAGGACCAATAGAAGTCCTACTGAGAAAAAAAAATCCAGCTTCTTTCAGCCTTCCTGGGTGTTAAGTGGTGTGTGTGTGTGTGTGTGTGTGTGTGTGTGTGTGTAAATTAGTTCATATCAAGTAATGGCACGTGATGAATCTTTATGAAATCAGTTTCATAAAGTTTATGAGTTTATGAAATAGAGTTTATGAAATCAGATATCTGGATCACGATGCTTACCATGTCCCAATTCAGTCTGGGCATAGGTCCCTATGATAAAAATCTTTTTTGCTAAAGGAATCCATTTGTTGATCTGTTCATCAGTGCCTAAAGCCAAAATACTCTTCATAAAGACCACATGTAAGTTAAATGCCAAATCCTCAGCAAGAAACCTGCAAAAACACAGATGCCATTACGTCCCCTGACAATGACTCACAAATGCATATTCAATATACAATTCATTACAGTGAGACAGTGAGAGGGCTAGATGTTCAGTGGGGTTCAATTTTTTTTGCTACTGGTTCTGTGGGCATGGCTTGGTGGGCGTGGCTTGTAGGCGTGGCAGGGGAAGGGTACTGTAAAATCTCCATTCCCTCCCCACTCCTGGGGGAAGGTTACTACAAAATCCCATTCCCTCCCCACCCCACTAACCTGCTTTCCAGCTCCGTTCTCCTGTGCAGGGCAACAAAAGAAGACCCAGCCAAACAGCTGGGACTCAGGAGGCAGAGAAGAGATGTGGGCAGGGCCAGTCAATAGGTGGTATTTGCTGGTTCTCCGAACTACTCAAAATTCCCACTACCGGTTCTCCAGAACTGGTCAGAACCTGCTGAATACCACCTCTGCTCCATAAGTGAGATCTATTTCTAGATGTTGTTTTCTCCTTTCTAAAAATCATAACCCAAACCACTGGATAAATCTTGCTAACCCTTTTCGAAAGCCGCATCTGTCCCTCTCATCATCTCTGCACACAGGCTCGAAGAAAATACTCAGAGCAGAAAGCAAAATTAATTCCTAATTGCTTCCAGTAATATAATTAGTTTTACATTGCAATCCTAGGCATGTAAACTCTTTCTACTTTCAGTAGGTCACGTGGGTTGTAACAGGAGGTTACAACTGCAATTCTCCAAATCAGTTAAGGAATACATATGTGTCTCTGAACCAACTGATTTAGAAAAAAAAAATATACCACTGAATTAAAATTACTTAAAGCAGTAGTGCTGTTCTGGGCCATCTTCAATCCATCCCATTTTAGCCACCTTTTGGAAGAGGTAAACAGTTTTTCTGACAGCACTTTCATATCTTTCATTTTGGCTCTGGAAATACCGGTTTTCTTGGCTAAACTCTGGATCAGCCTCAAGCACAGCCTCTGTTGAATATATAAGCATTATTTCAACACATGATGACATGGGAAGAACATGACAACATCTTTCAGTTAGTTTCCTCATATTCTGCCATAAAGAATTCCCAGGAGCATTGCAAAAGCTGTAGGAACTTCTGGTTGTTTTTGCAATTTTAAACTGGAGGAAAGCTTAGCTGCTACTTCCAAAACAGATGCCTCTACAGATAATGTTTGTATGTTGATCAGTAAGTACTTTTGAATGGAAAAAAAGTCCAATATGATGGCAAAGAAATCACAAAAAAAGATGAAACACAGTTTGGCCAAGTTTATTTAGGATGCGCTACTTAATGCCAAGAGTAACCAGTGAAGAAGACGTAAACTACAGCTAAAAATTACGTTTTTAATATCTTTGACTTTAATGATATCCTGTTGGGTGTAATGGTTGAGGCATTGGAGATCTTGAGTTCTAGTCCTGCCTGAGGCTGAAGCTAGCTGGGTGACCTTGGGCCAGTCACTCTCTTTCAGCCCTAATAAGAAGATAAGGGCAAACTATTGTCAAAAATCTTGCCAAGTAAAGTGAGGGACTTGTCCAGACAGTTTCCAGGAGTCAAAACTGACTCAGAGTTAAACACACACACAGAGGAGGGAGTGAAAGAGAGGGAGGGAGAGAGGGAGATGCAAGGGACTCCAACCTTGGCAATGTTAAGATTTATGGGCTTCAACTCCCAGAATTCTCCATAAGTCTTCAAGTTGCCAAGACTGGAGACCCCTACTTGTAATGTAGTCTGTGAGCTCTAACTTCAACGTACACAATTTTCTAAGGATGAATGTTCTTTTTTTTTTAATTTGAGAGATGTATCAAAAAGATTGACTTAATTTATTTTTAAAATAATAGTTGCAGTGGCTTACTAAAGGATAAACTATGAAGTTATTACAATAACCTGGCTCACTAAAGAATAAATTACCATAGTTTCACAATGATATGTAAGAGCCAAGCCAATTACTGTATTGCAAAAGGTTACACAAGTTTTCATCAAGTAACAACATAATTAAAAAGGACCTTATTTCATCTATATGTCACAGCCAATGATCTATTCTTCAGCCTTGGTCTGAGAAGGACAAATAGCAGACCGAAGAAATTTGTAACTATTAGATTTCGGATTATATTTTGTATCATAGGGCAAAGAAATAACTATTACCACTAACAATGCTGTGATATTATATATCTCCTTGAAAATATGAAAATAATATGTGTAATGATAATTTGTTGCAAAACTCATAGATTTTCTAAGAAATGCTGAATTAACCTAGCTAATTTAGGTCTCATAATTATGTACGCTCAGAATTTCAGAACAAAGTTTTCCTGGATTAGACTGAACTTGGAATCTTCTGAATGTAAAATATATTTTCTAATGCTGAACCACATATTTTTATTTTCAGCAACAGAAACTTTTCAGAACATAAAAATTCTTCCCTCAATTCTAATCAAGATACAGTTTCTTTTTGTGTCCTGAATGCATACTTTTGTGTGTGTGTGGTTTTCTCCTTGATCAAGGGACTTATTTTTTTCCTCTTTTAAAACGGATAATTTCATAAACTAAATTCCAAAGACTATCTAGAATGTAGTTAGCCTGGTTTTTTTAATGTTTGCTGCTTCTTTTGGCTGCTGTAGCTTAAACTCAAAGAGATGACTCCAATCTTAAAACAAACATTCATACAAACAAACTTATGCAATATTGCAATGATGGAAGATGTCCATAGGATAGAGAGAAAGAAAGACATAGGATACAGAGAGACACTGAGATGTAGGGTGTCAAATAAAAAAAACAAAATAAAAATTTAATTTGTCACAAATTCTTTTGAATTATGTACTAACCAACTTCCCTCCGGAGCTTGGTGTTGTTTGCTCCGCCGTCCAGTATATTAGTAAGGTGCTCAATGGAGAAAGAGATGTTTTTTCGTTCAATGTCCAGATCAGGGTTCACATTTTGTCCCGGAGAATTTGGTGAAAATATATTTGCTTTCTTTGCTTCCATTTTTGAATACTTTAGAACCTGTGAAAAGCAACCAAAATTAGTTATCTAGATTCTGAGATCTCTTAAAAATATGTACCTAATCAACAATTTGAGTATAGAAAGAAGGCTTTCTTAGAAGTGGATCTAGGAGAGCGTCAAAACAATTTTATCTGGGTATAACCAATTTCAAACACAGTGGGATTTATTCTGAACAGTCATTCTCTAGATTGTGCTATCAGTGCAAGAGTCTATTTGACTTGATATATTTTACTTAACTCCCAGGAACGAGCTTGTTCATTGTGATTACCGATAGCATTATTATGTTCTGTTGGCAATATGGAGCCACAGTTGCCAAATCAGCCATGACATTTCTATATGCTATAAATCAATAATTTTTAAATGGTCAGGATTATAGTGATCTCAGCCTTAGAATTGTTTCCTAACCTTGCAGGAAACTGCAGACAGATCAAGGATGCAATAACTTGCCACCAAGTTTATACCGTGCGAATATGAAGGTGTTAAAGGGTCTGGTAAATTTCGTGCGAAAGATCTATACACTTTTGTAGCTCCATCTGTACAATTCCTTTGGTGAGATGCTTTGTGAAGCAACCAAAGCATCTCACCAAATCTACTACCTGAAGATTTCAGAAAGCCAAAACTCTTGAAGGTTTGGAGCCGCCATTTCAGGACTCTCTCCATTACTTCTGAACAAACCTCTGCAGGCACAGAAGGCATTTCCTCTCAGATAAAGCTGCTGAAGAGATTCTTTGTATGCTTTAGATGATGTGGGGAGGACCTGAAATGGCCAAGGCAAGTTTCAAAAGGTACAACCATCTCAATGCTTCAATCAACAGGTTCGGGGGGTGGGAGAGGCTGCACTCAGTTTGCAAAATTGAGTGATTTGCATAGTCCTTGAACAAAGCATTGAAACGGTCCACTTTTTATGTGCCAAAAATAACCCGAGCTCGTCAAAGAATTGATGTTGTATTTATAACTGCAGTGCTTTTATGAGGTATTCTGCTTTATTCAATCACAGATCAGAAACGTCTCCAAAACGTTCAAGAACTGACATAGTAGGGGAAACAGATGAACAGAATTTGAACCCAAGGAAAAAATGTAGATATCACATCAGTGAAAGCATGAGCAAGTCAGGATACCAGATACCAGAGATAACAACTATTATGCAGCTGACCAGTGTCTGGCAAAGTAACAAGGAACAGGAACAGATTTCAAAGCACTAAATGTTTATTACATGCTACCTATACACAAGGATCTGATCTACTAATGGTCAAGTCAAACTGGCAACTTTTGCCTATGGTCAACTGAATTCAAGGGGAGAGGAGCTGGATTTGGGTTTCTTAAGGGAATGTAGTAATTCCAAAATGATGACATGTTTAACCCTGCCCCCAGGCTCAGCTTCGCATCTCCTACAGTCAGTAATGGTCAATGGAAAACTGATATATCATGATGTGTCATGGAAAGGGAGATGTTCCTCCAACACTGGACTTTTTTAAGCAGAGATTGGATAACTATTTGTCTGAAATGGTATAGGGCTTCCTGCCTGAGCAGGGAGTTGGACTACAAGACCTCCAAGGTCCCTTCCAACTCTGTTATTCTGATATTGTTGGCAAGAGATTAAAAGCAAAACTGTAAGAGACCTCATGTTGAGAAACTTCACCATTCAAGCATGTTGACATCTCAACTGTCCCTAACCCTTTACCAACAGGGCTAATTCAGAGTGAGTAAACAAAAATGTTTGAGTGCATAATGTTTAAGCACGGGTCAAAAAGAGGGGTGTGAAAATATTTACAGATCCCTCACATCCCAGACATAAACTGTTTCAACTCTTTCCCTCTAAACGATGCTATAGAGCATTGCACACCAGAACAACTAGACACAAGAACAATTTTCCCCCCAAACACCATCACTCTGCTAAACAAATAATTCCCTCATCACTCTGCTAAACAAATAATTCCCTCAACCCTGTTCAACTATTACAAAGTCTGCACTATTATTACTGTTAAATCTTCCAATCACTCCTTATCACCTATCCCCTCCCACTTGTGACTGTATGACTGTAACTTTGTCGCTTGCATACTTACGATTTATATTGACTGTTTCCTAGTATGATTTGATTGCTTATTGTACCCTATGACTATCATTAAGTATCATACCTTATGATTCTTGACTCTTGACGAATGTATCTTTTCTTTTATGTATACTGAGAGTATTTACACCAAGACAAATTCCTTGTGTGTCCAATCACACTTGGCCAATAAAGTATTCTATCTATCAAACTGTGACCAATAACTACATTATAACTTAACATAGACTCTCAGTATGCTGTGTTTTTCATCATATAATTCATTACGCAATGTCCTCAATTGTCCTCGGTTAACAGTGGCAGTTGACTAAGTCAACTAGTTGTAAACATGAAGTCACTGATTATGCCAACTTATGGCAAATGAATGAACTAGTCCTATTCTATATTGCTCTGCTTTGCAAGGATGGGGGTGGTGACATCACATGGTTGCCATTTGCAACCTCCTGCTGGCTTCCCCATTGAACATTTGCGACCTCCTGCTGACTTCCTTGGCAGGAAAGGTTGCAAATGTTGATCACATGACCACAGGGACACTTCAATGGCCACAACTTCCAGGACTGGTCATAGATGTCCTTGTTCACTTGCCATCGTAAATTCAAACAGTCACTGAATGAATGGTTAATAGCAGAGGACTATCTTTACTGCACAAGATCCTGAATTTCTGTATCTCCTTTGTGTGAGTGAATTTATTTGTCCATGCAGTTAATAAACAAGGTGCTACACGAGCACCTCTATAAGGAGGTCCTTGTCTACCTGGACCACATCCTCATCTACACTGAGACCAAGAACAGACCACATATCCCTAGTCCACCAGGTACTGGAAAAACTTCTCATGGCCAACCTGTATGTCAAGCTGTCAAAATGTGAATTTCACTGCAGATAGCTAGACTACCTGGGCTACCGAGTGTCAAATGAGGGCATAGAGATGGACCCAGCCAAATTACAAGCCGTCCTAGGCTGGCAGCCTCCTAGCACCTGCAGACAGCTACAAAGCTTCCTAGGGTTTGCAAGTTTCTACAGGTAATTCATTCCCTCTTTTTTTCACTCATTGGATGGAAAGATTGGAAAGGAAGGGATTACAAGAGATTAAGCAAAATCATACTGTGGAATACACTAGTTGTTTGCATGTCATGCTCATGGCTACCAGAGCATTGCTTTCAATGTGTATTTCCCATTGCTTATTCCATTGCAATTTCTTCCTTTCCATATGTTTGCCTCCAAAAACTGTCATCAGAAGTTCATCACGTGTTCTATTTCTTTATGTGTTGGAAATATTGAAATCCTGCCATCTTCAAATGATTTTTGTTTCTAAACTATAACATAATCTGTAGACTGGTTCAAATGTGTTTTTAGCTTAATCTTCTATGTATCTAAACTAAACTAATCTCCAGCTTTAAAAATTTTCTATTTTGGCTTGGCATTCTATGTGGATTTGTTTAATTGTGGATTATTTAACAAATCATTATTAATCAAACTCCGGTTTATTATTTGCCTTTAGGAATCTTTATATAATTACACATTGGCACTTGATTCTTAACGAATGTACCTTTTCTTTATGTATACTGAGAGTATTTACACCAAGACAAATTCCTTGTACATCCAATCACACATGGCCAATAAAGTATTCTATTCTATTCTATTCTATTCTATTCTATTCTATTCTATTCTATTCTATTCTATTCTATTCTATTCTATTCTATTCTATTC